CCGACCCCTATGGCCCCTCCTACAGGTGGTGAGCCCATTGGAGGGGGGACCCACGTGCCTTGTTCGGGCTGTGCCCGACCAGGCCCCATGGGTGTAGGCCTGGCCACCAGGCGCTCACCATCAAGCCCCACCCCTAGGCCTGGCTCCAGGGGGGGGCCCTGGTGACCTGCGTCCGGGCAAGGGAAATCGTGGATCCAATATTTTATTCATCATTGGGGGTCTTGTGAGCCGCACTTCATCTGGTTCCTCACCCAGGACCTGTCTGCTTTAGGTGACCCTACCAGGGGCATAAAGCCCCGGGCAACTTAGCTCCTGGGATCATTGGAACACGCAAACCCCTCCACCACGATAAGGTGTCGGCTCCAGGAGAGGTCTGATGACCTCACTTGGTTGAATCCTGTACAGACTCATTATTGCTTTTCACTAATTCTTCTTACGGTGACGTTATGGCACTATTCATTTCACAGCAGGTCTACCCACCAAGAATGCAGGGCCCATCAATTTACGGTGAGCAATACAGTACACTGCCCTTATGGATGATTCATAAAAAAAGCTTGACCTGCCGGTACATTATGGCCACCAGCCACACCCAAGCTGCACCATTTCCATGCCCATTTCAATCAAGCAGCTAAATCTCAGGCATGCTTCAGCCAGTCCTCATCAGATTTTACCCACAACTGTAGGACTGGACCTCAGACAGACCCTCCAACTTTGGTGCTGATCGGTCAAACGGGGGTGCTATGGCCATTATCCATATATGTGTAAAACCCACCTTGGCAAATTCAGCTGAAATCTCCTTATTTCTCATAAAACCTTCAAAGAATTGTTACCTTTCCTTTTCCTTTCCTTTTTAATTGCCATTTTCTTGCCATTTGACTCATATAAAATGATCAGACTTCATTTATAAGCCAGCCACTGCACAATGCAATTTTTAAATATTTTTTAATAAATTGGCCAGCAGGTGGAGTCAGTGCTGCATTTCATAAATGCCTTTCAGTTCTTTCAGGCCTTCTCATGTCTAAATGAACAACCTAGAAAAGGAGAAAGCATGATATTACTCCTGTTATATGGAGTAGTCCCCCAGCTGAGGACGGTTGTTCTGAAGATGCAACACGGCCTATGTTCACACAGGGAGAATAAACAAAGCTTGACCTATAAGATCTACACTTACCACATTAAGTGCCTATTTCTACCTACTACTCAGACCATATTTTAGGGTTACAGCCAAAAATCTCCATCCTGTTACAGGACTATGTAGTTCTATCTTACTTCTTCTGGCACTAGCCACCAGTGACGATCAGTCCTTCATTTCTCCATCATTACTCCTCTACTGTTTGTCTGAGCAGGACAATCGTCCTACGCTTTGGACCCTTCAGTCGATCACTGCCTGCAGTTACTAGTTATTATTATTATTATTATTTATTATTGTTATTATGTTACTCATATCCATAGCCCGACATCTACATATCATATGTGTTTACAAAGTGTGTTTCAATGTTTACATGTGTTTAAAGCGTGTGGGAGGGGTATTTTAAGGCTTAAACTATATTAAAAAATGTTTATTTATATGGTCGTTCTATATCGCGGATTTTCACCTATCGCTGATGGGTCTGGAACGTAACTTCCGCGATAGGTGAAGGATCACTGCATGTATTCGTAACAGCTAGTTGGATATTTTTGGTTTCAGTTTTGACGATAAATTTTAGCCAGCGAAAAACATGACCGTTGTTTATATTTCAAAAGTAGTTTACATTTACTTCACGCTGTGTTACCTTCAGCACTGTGCAGGTGAGTAATTGACTTTGCAGTCTCATTTCTATTTATTTTTGCAGTTTTGTAATGAAACATCTTCGGGGGAGG